AAACAAAAAAAAAATTGAATGGAAAATAATTTTTTTTTAAATTATTAATTAATCGTTTCTTTTCGTTCATTTTGCACTAATTGTGCGATTGAAAAAAAAGGTTTTTATTTTATTATTATTATTATTATTAATTTGAATAAAGACGTGTCAATAGAAATTAAAAATTTTTTGAATGATTGATTTGAAAAAAAAAAAATGGCGGAATATGCGTAAAAAATTTTCTTTTTTTAATTCTTTATGCTCTGTGATGTGCGTGCGTGCGTGCGTTCGTGCGTGGTTTTATTTTATTTTAAATATTCTAATGACACTTTATTTTATATTATCGTTATGAATAAAAGAGAGGAAAAAAGGAAAATTTTTTGTTTGTTTGTTTTGCCTGGTTTTAGCGAACCGTTATTAATAATGTTTTAAAAAAAAAAAAAAAATGACTGATGTTGAAATGAAATTTCAAAACGTTGAACGTTGTTCTCTCTCTCTCTCTCTCTCTCTCTCTCTCTCTCTCTCTCTCTCTCTCCTTCTCTCTTTTCTCTCCTCTCCTTCTTCTTCTCATCTCCCCTCGTTCCCCGAAAGTTAAATATAAAAAAAAAAAAAACAAAACAAAATAAATGGAGTTTAGGGTTGCATTAATTTTACATTTAAAGAAACATTAACTTTGTTTTTACATGTTTTCCCTTCATGCGAATCTAAAAACCTGAAATTTTTTTTTTCATATATATTTTTTGTTATCCTTTCACGCTCTCTCTTTCTCTCTCTCTCTCTTATTACACCTCTGTTTCTTTTATTCTATCTGTGTGTATATCTCTCTCTCTCACTGTTGTGCCTATCATTCTTTTTTTACCACTCTTCCTTTCAAACTTTCCCTCTGTTTCTCTCTCTCTCTATTATTTTGCCTCCCTGTGTGTTCCTTTCTCTCTCTCTTATTTTCCTCCTTGCGTGCTTTTCGCTCTCTCTCTTTTAGTATAGTGTGTGTGTGTGTGTGTCTCTCTTTTAGTATAGTGTGTGTGTGTGTGTCTCTCTCTTTTAGTATAGTGTGTGTGTGTGTGTCTCTCTCTTTTAGTATAGTGTGTGTGTGTGTGTCTCTCTCTTTTAGTATAGTGTGTGTGTGTGTGTCCCTCTCTTTTAGTATAGTGTGTCCGTGTCTCTCTCTCCTTCTTTTTCTCTTTCTACCTCTCTTCACTTTTTTCTTTTCCTTTCTATTTCTCTCTTTTTTCTACTTTTACATTTCTTTCTTTTTCACTTTTTCTCTCTTAATTTCTCTTTTTGTAACCCTTCTTCTCTCTCTCTCTCTCTTCACCTCCCCATTTCTTTTTCTCTCCCTCACTCACTCATTCACTCACTCTCTATCTCTTTTTTTTTTCAAGCCTTTTTCTCCCTATTACAAAATTCATAATTTTTTCCTTTTTATTATTTAATAGACTGTTATAATAATAATAATAATAATAATAATAATAATAATAATAATAATAATAATAATAATAATAATAATAATAATAATAATAATAATAATAATAATAATAATAATAATAATAACGATAATGATAATGATAACGATGATAACGATGATGATGATAATGATAATAAATTAAAAACGCATATTTTTTCATTTTTTTTTTTTTTTTTTTTTTACGACTTGAATAATTTATGCGCCATATTAAAATATTTTTGCGTCTAAAAGAGGGAAAAAAAAGAGAGAGGGAAAGGAAGAGGGGGGGCAAAGAGGTGGGTTGAATAGATGAAGGGCGAGGCGGAGCGGGTGAGGCGGGGGGATACGAAATGGCGTAGAATGAAATTCCAGCGGCGAATGCATTAATAGAAAAATATTTTTCTGGAATTAAATAATTTACTTTTTTCTTTTTTATTTATTTTCATTTATGATTTCAAACATTTTTTTAATTTAATTTCGTTTCCGTTTTGTTCATAAAATAAATTTTGTCGTCATTTAAATTAATTTATTTTTTTTTTCTATTGACACGATATTTTTTCCAGTTTTCCATCGATTCGAAAAATTATTTCTAAGTTACACGTCCAAAAAAAATTTTTTTTTTTTTTTTTGTTTTCAGTTACAAATAAAATATTTTTTTAAAAGTTAATGCCACGACAAAAGAAAAATTTATTTATTGAATTTTTTTTTGTTGTCATTGGTTAAATTTTGTGGCGAAACAAACAAACAAATATTAAAAAAAAAATATTTCATGTTTTTTGTCACTGCCCCTCTTCCTCCCTTCCTCCCGCCGCCTTCCATTGACTTTTAAAAAATGCGACGTGGCAGAAGAAGAAGAAGGGTCGATGAATTATCTTGTTTTTATTTATTGCCGCCCTTATACCGATATGTAATTTATTAAAGAGAGAGATGTGGAGGGAGGGGGAAAAAAATTTTTTTTATTTACATTTATTTTCTTCAAATTTTACGACAATAAAATAAATAAATAAATAAAATTATTATTCTATTGCCACGGTAAAATTTATTACTATTATTACCCACTAACTATACTTTTAAATCGATATGATTCGTTATTATTATTATTATCGCAATAGGAAGGGGGGTAGGAAGAATGAAAAAAAGAAAAAATTTTTTTTTCACGTTCGTTTCCAGGTAAATAATAATAATAATAAATAATCCTTCTGGAAATTTCCATCGATTGAAAATATATATTAAGAAAGAAAAAAAAAAGGAGTGGAATAAGAAAATATATCGGTTTTTTTTTCGAGATCGTAATAAAAAAAAGATGAAGAAAGATTATGACACGAATATCATTTTCTCTTTTTCTCTCTCTCTCTCTCTTTCGCTCTCTCTCTCTCACAAAACAAACAACAAAAAATATTAGAAATTAGGTTGTTGTATTGAATGTATTAAAAATTACATGAATAATGAAAACAGGTACGAATAAAGAACCGATACAGGCAACCTGTACAGGTGTTTTTTTTCTTTATCGTTTAAATGTAAATAAAAAAAAAATTTTATTTTATTGGATTCGTGTCACTTGTTTACCTTATTATCGAATCCATTGTGAACGCGAACACGCGGCGTAAATAGAACAAACTCTGTAAATTCGGTCGTGTACGAAATATATTTTTATATGCGTTTTTTGTTAATGGAATTAATATTTGATTGATTTTATATTTAGCTCTAATGAAACAATGATGATGATAATAAAGATGATGATGATGATTATAGCGAAATAACTGATGATGATGGTGTTGGTGATGATGGCGACGATGATGATGAAAGCGACGGTGGTTATGATGATGATTTTAGCGACATAACTGAAGATGATGATGATGGTAACATAACTGGTGATGATCATGATCATGATCATGTAATTGATAATGATAATGATAAAAACGACGGGGGTGATGACGATAACGATGATGATGATTATGATTATGGCAGCATAACTGATGATGATGATGCTGATGATTATGATGATGTTGATGATGATAATGATTATGATGATGACTATGATTATGATTATGGCGACATAACTGATGATAGTGATGATGATTACGACGACTTAACTGATGATTCTAATGATGATTATTATGGCGACTTAACTGATGAATGTACGGTGGCATAACTGATGATAATGATGATAGTGCAATACTCTTGATTCGCGCGTCCGACGTTTTTATTTTTAGCGAAAAAAGAAAAAAAACGCATGTAAAATAATTTAATTAATTTTATATTTAATAAACGAACAATGATGATAATAATGATGCTTATGATGATGATGATGATTACGACGATGATGATGTTATCACAAAAGTGTAATTGATAATAAAAAAATAAAAAAGAAAAAGAAGAAAAATGAAAATGATGGAGAAAAAAAAGAAAAAAAAAAGGAGAGCAAAGAAAAAACGATGATGTATGAAGATAATAAAATTATAAATAAATAAATCAAAAAAAAAAAAAGAAAAAAAAGAAAAGAAAGGAAAAAATGGCGGTGTGCGGCATGAAGTGAAAGAGGAGGAAGTGGGGCGGGGAGGTTTGAGGGGAGGAAGGGAGTGGGAAGAGAACGAAAGAGAAAAAAACGAAAAAAAAAAAAAAATTTTATTTTAATTTTTCTTTTGGAAAATTTACTTAAAAAAAAAAAATCTGGAAAAATTATAGAGAAATTTATTATCATTATCATCATCATTACCACCGTTATCATCGTTATTATTATTATTATTATTATTATTATTATTATTATTATTATTATTTCGATACGTGGTACAATTTTTTTTTAATAAAAAATTTGTAAAATATTTTTACAAGTGATTATTGTTACGCCGTCGAGTATTTTCTTCAGGAAATTTTTTTCAATTTGTGAATTTTTTTTTTTTTAAAAAAGAGAAAAAAGGGAAAGGGAGGAAGAAGAAGGGAGGGAAGAAGTAGGGGAGGTAGGGGAAAAAAGGAAATTCTTATTTAAAGGAAGAAAAGGAAAGCAGAGGAAAAAAAAATTAAAAAGTTAATTAAAAGTTTTTTTATTTCGATTAATAATAAAATTAATTACAATTTTTTTTTTTTTTTATCAAGTTTTAGCAAAATTATTATAATTTTTTTTCCTGTTGCTGTTGTTTCTGTAGGAGTGGTGGGGGTGGTGGTGATAAACGCTGTTGGCGACGACGACGTTTCGAAACGTTAATTATCATAAATTAACAAGTGGAAAGAAACAAAAAAAAAAAGAAAATGTTTTTTTTTTCTCACAAGTTTCGCGTCCTCAATAACAATAATAATAATAATGATGAATAAGTGTCGTTGAAATGCGTGGGTGCGTACGTGCGCGTGCTTTCGAATACCTGAATAATTTTTTGTTTTTTTTGTTGTTTCAGGGAAAATGTCAGCAGGTTTCGTTCAAATGTTTGCCATCACGAATTAAAAAAATGACAATTAAAAACGGAATAAATATCAAAAGATTTTCAACTCAAAGGTGAGAAGAAGAAGAAGACGTGGAAGAAGAAGAAGAAGAAGGTGAAGAAGGTGAAGAAAAAGAAAAAGAAAAGTTTTCCGAATAATCCTGATGGAAGGTGGCGAATGGTGGTTTCCGAACGGATTTTCATTAACCAATACGACATCAACAGATTTTTATAAGAATTCATCATCATCATCAGATTCCGAAGAATTATTTCGATCTTTATTATTTCCGGAAAATTCCGGTGGATTTTCACACGAAACTTCCATCGAAGATTCTTCGCTATCTCTTTTCGACACGACGGATTGGGGAAATTCGACGTTACGGTGGTTTCAAGATCTTTCCTGTCATTTTTTTCAAACGTTCGACACGTTCGGACTTTACACACCGAACATGGATCTATACAACGACACGTGCGATTCTAGACCGCAATTTACAAAAGCCTCCATACTCTCGTGCGACAGACCGGCGAAAATCCACGAAAAATTCGATTATTTCCGTTGCGTAGCCGAGAAAATTCGTTACAAAAGTTTCAAATCACGTTTCAAAACGTACAAATGTTCGAAATGCAACGCCGCGTGCGACACGCCACAATTCAAAATGGCCGTAAACGTTTTGGCGGGTACGGGTATGACTTTGTTCGATGATAAAACGAAATTATTTAAAAACGGAAACGGTTCGTCTTTTTGGGCCAGGTTCCCGAGAATAATGTCTTCTGCTCTTTGTCAAAGTTCAATAACGGATGTTTTACAATTGGTTATGAATTGCAAAACAATCAAAGAACCGGAAAGCGATCAATTGCTTACGTCACTACAATCAAATTATAGTTATTACGAAGATATCGAATCGTGGAATAACGTTTTTAAATGTTCGATACAAAATGTTTTTTTCGGTTCGGATCCCGGAGGTGGAATGGGCGGAATCGGCGGAACCGGAAGTGGAAGCGGAAATTTCGAATCGACTATTGAAAATTTATATAATTATGAGTGGTCGTTTGTGTTCGTGTTAGTTTTTATCATTGCCGGAGGACTCGGTAACATATTAGTTTGTTTAGCCGTGTGTTTAGACACGAGACTTCAAAATGTCACCAATTATTTTTTATTGTCATTGGCCATTGCGGATCTTTTGGTTAGTTTGTTTGTTATGCCCCTAGGTGCGATACCTGGATTTTTAGGTGAGTCTAATGATTTTTTAAAAACAAATTATTATTCGAAAAAAAAAAGCGTTGGTGTTGTTGATGATGAGAGGAGAAAGAGAAGGGTAAGTAACAAACGACAAACATCAAAAGGTTGGAGAAAAAAAAAGCATACAAAAGGTTTATCCTTCAAATGATGACCGTACGTGTAGGGGGATCATACGCACACGTTCTCCTGACACGATTTTTTTGCTTTTTATGTTAAAAAAAAAAAATTAATATCATTTTCGACTCGCTTTTGTCGTCCATCATTTATTCATTTGATTTTTTTTTCTTTTTACTTTATGCATCACCAAACAAACAAACCCGGTTGCTGTTTGCCGTTTGCCTCGTTGGGTTTCCGCTTTTTTTTTCTAGGAAAAATTTTTTCACGAGCGAAAACGATTCTGTTAATTATTACTTTTTTTTAACGTGTCTTTATCTCTTTTCCCAACACACATAAATACATAAGTACGTATTTTCTTTCTTTTTCCACGTTTATTTTTAAATCTCTATCTCTCTTTTCTCATGACGGTTCTATAAGAGGGGGGGGGGGGAGAATTTCGAGCTTGAGATCATCGTTACGCGATACGAATACAAATAAGATTTTTATTTGTTTTTTTTTTTTTTTCAAAAAATCAAAATGGCGGATTCGTAAAAATGGTGTGGGGTGGTGGTGGCGGTGGTGGGGGAGGTTCTGAGAAAAATTTTCCACGGAAATGAAATTTATTGTCAATTAAAAATTTCTCTTCGTTTTCATTATTTCTTTTTTAAATAAAAACTTAAATTTGTTTATTTATTATTATTATTATTATTATCACCACCCCCGCCATTATTATCATCATTATCGTCGTAGTCGTTGTCGTTTTCGTGGTTATTATTATTATTATTATTATTATTATTAAAAATTTCCGGTCGAAACGTTTAAAAAAAAATTTTTTTTTTCCTCTTCGGTTTTTACATTTTCTAACGTTACGAAAAAAATTTTTTTTCCTTTTTTTCCTTTTTCTTCCCTTTTTTTTCCTTTTTTTTCGTAAATTAATTTAAATGCGATGGTTTTTCAATTAGTGTAATTGTACGTTTCGACGTCCGCACTTTTCGTTTTTACACTTTTCCTTCATTAATCTCTTCTGTTTCACTCGAAAGTAATTCATCTTTTCGCAAGTCTGACGCGTCGTCATTTTTCCTTTTTTGTTTTTCTTACGTGGCTCCAGTAAACAAAAAAATCTCCTCCTTCCCCTTTCTCTCCTCGTCCCCCCCACTAACCTTTTCCCCAAACTTTTCATTATCGTTGTTTTAAATTTTACTTTTTTTTTCTCTCTGTCTCTCTCTCCTCAATCGTTTCCCTTTTGTTTTTATTTTTTATCCTAAAAAAAAAGGACCGAAACGAGAGAGAGAGAGGAAAAAGAGAAAGAGAGACAGAGGGGGGAAAGGTAATTCGAACGGTTTTACCTTTTAAACAAACATTTTTTACCTTTTTATCATTTATCGGATTGTGGATTGAAAAAAACGGTTTTTCCTTCGGTTTTTTTTTTCAGGTTTACGTTTGACTGATTTTTACCGGTCAATTATTATTATTATTATTATTATTATTATTATTATTATTATTATTATTATTATTGTTATTATTATTATTATTATTACGGTTTTCCATTGAATTTTTTCTTTTTTTATCTTTTTTCCGTACATTTCACTTTGGAAAGTTTTTTTTTTCCGCTTTTCCTACATTCTCTTCTTTCATTGTGTATATTGAGATGTCGAAAAAAAAAAAAAAATTCACACTTTCGTCGTGTAATCAATATGATGTTCAAAACGTGGAAGTAATAATAATAATAATAATAATAATAATAATAATAATAATAATAATAATAATAATAATAATAATAATAATAATAATAATAACACGGGAATTTTTTTTTTAAATTTGACGGCATCATAAAAGAGGAAATGTGATGAACGTATGTATGCATACACACGAAGGGCACGACTGACAAGGTGAGAATAAGAGAGAGAGAGAGAGACGTGGAAGAATAATAATAATAATAATAATAAAAATGTTTAACATATCGTATGTGTACGTTCATGCAAAATTTTTGTCGTGAGATTTTTTTCAACTTGAAGGTCACGTCAAACTTTTTTTTTTGTTTTTTTTGGCATCGACGACGTCAAATTTAAAATTTTTTTTTTTTCATTAAAAATGTTTTTTGGATGAAACGTTGATGATGATGATGATGATGAGATGCTTCCTCACTTCTATCTCTCTCTCTCTCTCTCTCTTTTTTTTTTTTTAAATGTCGACAAAGTATACCCACGGCGAAGAAATTAATTTCGATTTAACACGGTTTTACCAACTCGTTTACCACCGCAATATATTACCATATATTGCGGTGGTAAATGAATAGAAATTTATTACTAATCGAACGGAAAAACCTTTGATGATGACGTCCGCGTTAATATCATTTTGCGGTTATTAGACCCCGGAGTAAAAGAGAAAAAGGAGAAAGAGGTAATGAGAATGAAATTGAAAAACACACACACACACAGTGAGAGAGAGAGAGGAGGAAAAGTAGGGGAAGAAAGGGGGAAAGAGAGGATATTGAAAGACAGAAAGAAGAATTAAAGAGACCAACAGAAAAAAAATGTGATTAAAAGAGAGATAGAGAAAGAGAAAGTAAGGGAAAATGAGAGAGAGAAAAATAGAAACAGTGAGAAACGCAGAAAGAAAAAAAGAGAGAAAAAGGGAAAGAAAGGCAAAAAGGGGAAAAAGAAAGAAAGCAATGAGAGACACAGCGAGGAAAAAGATAGAGAAGGAGGGAAAGAGGTAAAGAGAAATAAAAATAAACTTAGAAAAGAAAGTGGGGGGAAAGAGAAAGAGGGAATAAAAGGGGGAGAAAGAGAAAATTTGGACAAATTCAAATTAGAAAAAGAGGGAAAAAGGCAGAGAGAAAGAGAGAAAAAAAGAAGACAGTAAGAGACACAGATAGAAAAAAGAGAGAGAGGGAAAGAGGGAAAGGAAGGGGGAAAGATAGAAAAAAAAGAGAGGGAATGGAGGAAAGAGGTAAAAGAGGAAATAAAGAAAAACATTAAGAAAAAAGAGAAAAAAAGAAAGAGAGAGAGGAAAAGTAAGGGAAAAAAGGAGAAAGAAAAAAAAAGAGGATTTTTGGATAAATTTCGAATTACAGTAAGAGATAGAAAGGGGAAAGTAAAACAGAGAGAGAAAGAGAGAGAAAAAGAAAAGAATGAGAGATGAGACACAGAAGGGGAAAAGAGATAGATGAAGGAAAGAGAGAAAGAAGTAAAGAGAAATAAAGAAAAACATAAGGAAAGGAAAAAAGAGGGAGAGAGAGAGAGAAAAAGAGAAAGTAACGGGAAAAAGAGGATTTGGATAAATTCGAATTAGATTTACATTATAAAAAAGAAAACGTTTTTCCAGAAGAAAATTCCAAAATTCACAGAAGACAAATTGTGTAACGAATAAAACGATAGAAATTTAAAAAAAAAAAAAAAGGTCGAAAGGGCGACCGAATAATAAAATATTCACTTTGAATAATTTTTTTTTTTTTTTTTGTCAAAGTTTAATTCCAGTAAAATTCTTTCTGGATAATTGACTAAAAAAGGTTTATGAAGAGAGAGAAAGAGAGAGAAAGGGAGAGAGAAAAAGAAACTTTTCAATTGAATATTTTTAACAAACCATTGTCGTACCTGAATATATCATTTCATTTCATTCCTTTTTTTATTCATAATTAACCGATTGTTTTTATAGAATTTTCACGTGATATCATTTTCTCCTTCCACGTTCATCAGCACCATGTATATATACCTTAATTAGTTTCTTTTTTTCTATTTACACGATCGAGAGTAAATTTATATAAATTTCATCGCGGTTCAAATTGAATTGTTGTTATGAGGCGTGTAAAAAAAAAAAAAAAATGGAAAATTAAAATTTTATTAGAAAAGTTACCCCCGGGAACGGGGAGATGGGGAGGAAGTGGAAAATGTAAAAAAGCTTAATTGTTCCGAAGGCGGAAGTGGCGACGGCGGTGACGACAAAATTTCAAAGAAATAAAAATTAAATTAATTACGGATCAAACGATTGAAAAAAAAAATTTTATTTTTTTTAAGTAAAAGGAACGAAGAAAAAGGAAACTTTTAAACGTTGTCAGAAAAAAAAAAACAAATTTTTATTTTACTTTAGTAGATTTTTATGAAAAGGTTGTTGCGAAAGTGGTTTTGCAAAAGGATCGAAAAGAAAATAACATCTTAGACGCGGGAGGGAAAGGAGAGGTGGGGGATCGTGTAAAAAAAGGGAAAGAGAGAGAGAGAGAGAGACGGGGTAAAAAAGGCCGTGGAAGAAGATTTAACGGATCAGTAAAATTCGTTTTAAAAAATCATTAAACTTCTTAATTACCGACTCGACAATTTGGATGAAGAAGAATAAATTTTGAACGACGACGACGACGACGATGACGATGACGTCGATGACGACGACGACGACGACGACGATGACTCTTGGAAAAATAAAATTTCTTTTTTTTTTTTAAACTAGTCTTTTTCATTTTATTTTTATTTTATTTCCCGCCCACGCCCCCCCTTTTACTCCCTCTTTTTTTATTTCCGTTTGATGACTTTCTAGAAAGTTAGAATACGAGAGAGAGAGAGAGAGAGAATAATAGTTTTAAAACGGAAATGACGATGAAGTCGAAAAAAAAATAAGGGAATACAGAAAATTTTTTTTTTTCTTTTTGACTTTGTATTACCGGCATATGTCCGACTCTTCCCGCGTAAAATTTCAAAAAGACGTGCCGGGGGGGGAGGAGGAGCGTTATAAAGTTTTGAAGCACGTGGGGAGGAGAAGGGGGCGTAAAGTTTTGAAACAATTTTTTTTGTTTATTCCAAAAAAAAAAAAAACATCACCAATTCGTTTAAATTTCATTTTATTTTTTTAAAACAGAGTTTTCATTGTTTTAAAACGATTTTTTTTATTACTTCCGGTTTCTCAATTAACGATTTCCGTCTGTTTAAATATCGTTCTCGTCTTCTGCTTTCTGTAATTTTTTTATTTAATGATTTATCAAAAAATAAAAATAAAAATATCACCGTTGTTGTTATCGTTGTTGTTGTTGATTCATCGGAGTTTAAGTCGTAAGTGAAAGTAAAACTTTTTGAAATTTTCCAGTTCACTTCCGGTTCCGGTTCTCATTTTTTTGTTACGGATAAAAATTAATAAATAAATAATTCGATAAATTTCAATTAAAAAAAAAGTAAAAAGTTTTTTTTTTTTTTTTAAGATTGATTAAACAAAAAAAAAATTAAAAAAAGGGGGAGGATGAAGGGGGGGGGGAACAAAAACCGAAAGAAGGTGACTGGAAATAACAAAAACCGGAAAAACAACTTTGAAAAATATGAAGTCGAGAACGAGTGAGTTTTGATTAATTCAAATAACAAATTTAAATTAAAAAAAAAAAAAAAATCTTACGGTTAATAAATTCTGGAAAATTTATTTTCTCCAGGAGTTTGGTACGAGGGAAAAAAAACAACAAAAAAAACTTTTTCTCCAGGTTTTTTCTTTTTTGAAAATCTTTTATCTTTTTTTTTTTGTTCTTGTTATTAAAATTTTTATGTAAAAGGTAGTAATTAAAAAATAAATAATTAAAAACCGTATTTAAAATGATAATAATGATGCCTGGAAAAAATGGTAGGTTTTTCCGTGAGAATTCCACGGCAATTTTACCAACGTTTAAAAATTAAAATTATATCGAATCTCGTGAAAATTAACACATAATTCAAATTTCTTTTTTTTTCGGAGGGGGGGGAATAAAAAAGAGGAAGACGGGGAGGAAAATAACGCTGGAGAAAAAAAAACGTTTTTTGATTATCTAGAGAAAAATAAATAAATAAATAAAACGCCACGACGGAAATTCAAATAAAAAAAAAATTATTCGATTACTGGAGAAAAAAAAAATGTCGCAACGTTTATTTTTTCAAAAAAAAAAAAACTCAGGTAGAAAGAGAAAGAGAGAGAGAGAGAAAGTTGTGAAATTGATGGTAATAACGAAAACGCGGTGCTTCGTAATAATAATAATAATAATAATAATATTAATATTTTGTTTAAAAATTTCCGGGAAAATTAATAACAAAAATAATCCAAAGGTTAATGTTTTGTGTAAAGAAAAAGAACGGAAGAGAGAAAGAAAGGGGAAGAGAGTGGGAAGAAGGAAATGAAAAAGAAAGAGAAAGAAAAGGAAGAAGAAAATAGAGGGAGAGAGAATGAAAGAAAGAGAAAGAAGGGAAGAGAGGGAGAGAAAGGTAAAATGTAAAAGGGAGAGAAGGTGGGATGTAAAATAGAGAGAGGCGGAGAGAAGGGGAAATAAAAGAGAGAAGGAGGGAGTGGGGGAGAAAGTAGAATGTAAAAGAGAAAGAGAGGTGGAAGAGAGAGTAGGGTGTACGAGAGAGAGAGGAGGGAGAGAAGGAAAAAATGAAAGAGAGAGAAAGAGAAAAAGAAAATAGAGAAAGGGAAAAAAGGGAAAAAAGGAAGAAAGAGAGAAAAAGGAAAGGATAGAATGAATAAAGAGAGAGAAACAGAAGCAAGGGAAGAGGAAAACGAAAGAGAGAAGGAGAGAGAGAGAGAGAGAGAGTAGGATGTAAAAGAGAGATAGGGGAAAATGAAAAGAGAAGGAGAAAATGAACGAGTAAAAGTTAAAGAGACAAAGAGAATGGGAAAATGAAAGAGAGAGAGAAAAAGGGGGAAGAGAGTGAGAAAGAGAGCCATCATCATATTAAAAAATTGACAAAAATTTAAAAAGGAAAAATTTTTTATTTCCTCAAACAAACGGAAACAACTTTGTAACCTGAAACAAATGTGAAAATTTTAAAGTCACGTAGTCACTTGTCTAACAACAACAACAACAAACGATATTAATAATAATAATAAATGAGAAAAATTTAAAAGCGGTCGCTAAAGTTCCATATTATACATTTTAAAATTTTTGTTTATTTTCTATAACCACGTAATTATTTTTGTTATTATTATTATTATTATTATTTTTTATTACGTTTGTTTGTTAGTGTTTTTTTCTCATTTCAATTTGATACTTTTTTCTCTCTCTCTCTCTCTCATTCTCTCTCATTCTTTTTCAAATTTATTTGCTTGTGTTTGACGATATCGTTGTTGTTGTTGTTGTTGTCCTCTTTGTTAAATTACGTTTTTCATTTTTTCGTCTCGAACAATCACGTTTAAAACCAAAAAATTAATGAAAAGGTTTGTTGTCGTGGCATTAATAAAAAAAAATCATAAATTTTTTTAGTAATACCCTTTTGTCCAGGGTGATATTTTTAATGGGATCCTGGAATTTTGATCCCGAATGCGGATTTAACGAGGCCGCCATTTTACAAGCTCGCAATTTCAGGGTGTAAAATATGGCGGAAGTCGGAACGGAAAAGAGGGAGAGGTGGAAAAAAAAATTTTTTACGGGATAATTATTACCTTCCCCCTCCCCATTATGAAAAAAAAATGGATTTCGAATAACGCATCGAACGGATTATTTACGTTCGGAATTAAATCGAACGCGTGAAAAATTTATCATTTTTATCATCATCATCATCATCATCATCATCTCATCGTCGTCGTCGTGAAGCGGAAAATTAAAAAAATTAAAATTTTAAACGGTGAAAACAATAATTTTTTTTTTTAAAATGTAAATTCCCGCTATTTTTAAATTTAAATTTCAAAAAAAAAAAAAAAAAGCGCGCGAATATGAATAATAACGACGTGGTTTCGCGGTTTTTTCTTTTTTTTTATTTCGTCGTGTCTCGCGGTTGAAAAAAAAGCAAGAAAGAAAATTACACGCAAAAGCCGAAAGCAGAAGACGTGAAATAAAAACAATAATAATAATAATAGTAATAGTGATGAAATGTCGCCGTCGGTGATAAACAAAAAAAAAAAAAAAATTTTTTTATTTTGATTTATTTTTTTATTTCGATTTATTTTTTTCCTCTCTCTCTCTCTCTCTATTTTCGCGCGCGCTCTCTCTCACTCTCTCCTCTCCCTTCCTCTCTCCGTCTTCTCTCTCTTTTAAAATTTTTAAAGTTTCGAATCGCCGAATGAAATTCCCAAGAAAAATTTAAAAAAAAGAACTTTTAATCGTTGTAAAAAATTATGTCGAATCCGGGAACGAAAACGGGAACTGCAACGGGAACGGGAGGAGGGGGAGCAGGAGGTGGAGGTGGAGGTGGAAACGGAGGTGAAACGGGGAGAGAAGAATTTCAAATGTGCGAAAATTGCATGGGTAAATTACAGCAGATAATTAGAAAAGCGAAGGAAAAATTTTATAGCAAAAACGAATCGCCCGCTGTAAATCAGGATGCTCATGAGAAGTCGTCTAAACTCCCGACGAACTCGAACCGTAATAGCGAAAAGGCTGATAATAACAATGATGGCGATACTAGCAATAATGATAATGGTAAAGGCAAACCGAACGGAAACATGACGAAATCGGATGAAATTGAAAAATTTTTCGAATCTTTACCTTATTACGTACCCATTTGCGACCATTGCAAAACTCAATATAATTTTTCCGTCATGCAATTACCCGTTGATATGATCAAATCAGAGTAAGATTATTATTATTATGTTCACTATTAAACACGACAAGGCTCTTATTTGTCGGGTTTTTAAGCATTTATCCCGGGTTTCTACCCAAATCCTTAGGGACAAATACTCGAATTTCGGTGGTGCTACTTATAATATTTTCCGAAGAATGTGGGCCGTCCCACATAGTGCGATTTTATTATTATTATTATTATTATTATTATTTTATTAATTGGTAGTCTATTTATTTCCCCCACCTACCCCCCCTCCCACGTAGCGTAAAGAAATGAAGATGTTTACGGTTTGTATATATATATAGAAATTCGTCGAGATGAGTGCGATGACGTTTGGTGGTAATAATAATAATAATGATAATTATCTAGGGTAGATTCGTTCGTTAGTTCCTAGGGGAGGGGGTAGGGAAGAATGGGGGGAGGTGTCGTCATTAAAGTGGCAGAAAAATACTCGACGCGGTAAAAATTACGGATCCCAAAGTTTTTTTTTTGTTTTTTTTTTCTTTTTTTTATGGGTCAAACAAAGGTCACACTTACATTTTACCTTATTAAAAAGTTTTCTTTTTGTCGTTGTCGTAATTACTACTTTTCGAAAGAAAAATGAGATTTCGAAAAAAACGGGGGAGGGGAGGGAGGGAGAGAAAAAAGGAAAAAATAAAAAACGCCGTAAATTTTTTTAAAAAAAAAAAAAAAAAAAAGTTCAACCTTTGTAAAAACCAACTTTTTTTCTTTTTTTATGGGGGGAAGGAAGGAAAAAGGGAGGAAAGGGAAGAGAGGGATAAGGGAATGGAGGAAGAAGGGAGGGAGGAGGCGAGATTTAAAAAAAAAAATTTTTTTTTCGTTTGTTTGTAACAGCCAGGAAAACTATAAATTTTTTAAAAGTTTTTTTTATTTTTTATTTTTAGACTTGAAAAAGCTACTGAAAAATGATAATGATAATAATAATGATAATGATGATGATGATGATGATGATAAAGGTTAATAATCACTAATTTCGAATTAAAAAAAAAAAAAAAACGGTTAAAAGAAGAAGAAAAACACGGAAAATAGAAAGAGAGGCAGAAACAAATAAAGGCACAGAATGAGAAAGAGAGAAAGGGGAAGAGGAAGAGGGGAGATGAAAGAAAGAAAAAGGAAAATTAATTTTCTTCTGCTTTTTTTTTTTTATATGTTTTTAATCGGTTAATCCAAATTCAATTCGCGTAATTGCAAATAAAAATTCAATTTTATAAATTCAACTACGACGACATAACGAACGATTAGAAAATTCTAGATTTTATTTTCAACCATTACAAATAATAATAATAATAATAACAACGATTACGTCGCCCATTTTTTAAATTATTCATCGACATTTCATTTTAAAAAACAAATTTTTATTTAATATAATAATAAAGAAAAAAAAATGTCTGAAAACGTTTCGTGAATTCAGGTATAAAAAAAAAAAAATCCCGCGAAATTTTTTATTTTGTATACTCAAAACGAAATAAAAACAATAAAAATTTGAATTCGGAGCGCGTTCAGAAATTTCAATTTCTTTATTTACATTTTTAAAATTGTGTATACAAAATTCTTTTCTCTGATTGGTCGAAATAAATGATGACGCGTGTGACGTGCGGTGATGAGTCGTTTTTATTTCGACCAATCAAATTTATTTCAGTATATAATTCACAGAGGACTTGCGGGTGAGTGTGTTTCTTTTTCTTTTTCATTTTTTTTTTTTATTTTATTTTATTTTAAAATTTTAATAAAATAATTTTTATATAAGATTGTAAAGGGTTTTGACTTTGATGGATAGAACAATAAAAAAAAAGTTTTCAATTTTTTTTAAAAGTATATACGAGAGGAATATTTGTGTGTGTGCACGTGTGGGTTTTCTATTTTCTTCGAATAGTTTTTTTTTTTTTTTTTAAATGATTTATCTTCGGAGTTAAGAAAAATTGTGGAAAGATATACAAAGAAAAAAAAAACGTTAAAAAGTTTTCTTTTTTCGATTAAAAACGGGATTGATTTCTTTCGATGAAATCAATTATAAAAACGTTGATTGATTTTTTTTTTTTTTCTTATTCGTTCATCATTTCAACAGGTTGTAAAAATTTTTATTTTTTTTCGTTTTTATTATCGGAAATTAAAAAAAAAAACTTTTTTGTACAACTTTTCGTTTGTTGTATAGTCGGAAATTAATTTAAAAAAAAAAAAAAAAAAAAAAAAACACGCAAACTTAAAACGTTTAACGTTAACAAAAAAAAAAAAAAAAATTCCGGTACGAAATTAAACGTGCACGTGGGAAATGATATTTGCCAAGATTTTAAATGCCACAACACGATAGTTTAAATACTCTTTCTCTCTCCCTTTCTCTCCCTTTCACTCTCTTTCTCTCTCTTTCCCTTTGTCTCCCCATCTGTCTCTTCCTTTCTCTGTCTCTCTCTTTCCCTCTTCTGGTTTTTTTTTTTTTTTGTCAAATCATTCCCTTGTTGAAAACTTAATTTTATTTGTTTATTTACGCGATACGGATGGGATCGAGTCGAAAAAAAAAAAAATTTTTTTTTTATAAATTAAAATGTCGAAAAATGTAAAATATTGCGATCGGTAAAGAATTTAGATTTTTTTTTTTTTTTATAACTTCCGGTTCTTTTTGTAATGTTGTTGTTGTTGTCGTTTGTTGTTCAAGTTTGTTCGTTTTTTTTTATTCGTTTCCCATGTGTTTTTACACAAAGTTCCGGTTTAAAGTTTTATATCGTTGTTTTGTTGTTCTTTTGTCGGAAAGTTAAAAGAAAAAAATTTTTCTTTTTATAAAAAAAAAAAAAGTAAGTTTTAATTCTGTCGAAGAGAATAAACCTTTGAGATTCCCCTAAGGAATGAGAAAATATTTGAATGTAAAATGTTTAAGACAACAAAAGTGAAAGATTTTATTAAATAAAAAAGAGAGGGGGAGAAGAATAAAGAGAGGCACAGAGAGTGAAAAAGCCAAGGGAATATAGAAAAAGAGGGAAAAAAGGAGGTTGCGATAGAAAAATAAATATAGAGAAAGAGAAAGAATGAGAGGAAGACAGAGAGAGAGAGAGAAAGAAGCAAAAGAAATAGAAAAAGGAAGGGTGAAAAACAAACACAGGGACAGAGAGGAAAAGAAAAAAGAAACACATAGAGAGGAAATAGGGGGAGAGAGGGTAAGAAATAGAGAGGAAAAAAAACAGAAAAAGAGAAAAGATGAAAGGAAAACCAATAAAAAGAGAGAGAAAAGAAAAAAAGAAAGAGAGAAAGTGAGAAAGGGTAAAAAAAAAACAGAAAAACAAAATGAAAGAGAGAGAAAACAAAGAAAGAGAGAAAAAGAAAACAGAAAAAAGGTAAAAGGAAGACAGATAGAGAGAGAGAGAGAGAGAGAGAAAAAATGGCGAACAAATATTCAACATAATGAAAATTAAACATGGGTAAAAACTAAAAACAATCAAACACATGTCAAAAAAGTTTTTTTTTTCTTTTTTCAAAATAAATAATTAAAATGGTTTTTCCGGTGATTTGTCAAAAATGTAAAATATTTTCGAAGGGGCAAGAGTGGGAAGGGAAACCGCAGGAGGTATTCAAAGGAAAACCTTTTTTAATAAAATTAATTTGTCCAGCAAATATTTCCAGGTTTACATATACATATATATATATATATACATGTATGCATAAATTATTTATTTATAATTAAAAATAAAAACCGGAAAGAGTCAAAAATTTGACAAATTTAAAAACGCGGATTAAACGACGTCGACCGGAAAAAAAAAAATTATCAAACGATAACCGTCAATACGTCAGAGCAGGGCAGCCAACATGAATGAAAAAGGATTTTATATAAATAACGAATGAATAGTGATAACGACCGACACACACACACACTTTCACGGTGATGACGTTCGACGTGTAGGCGATGATTATTATTATTATTATTACGATTCCATTTTAAAATGATAAAAAAAAAATTTTTTTTTGGAACGGTTTTGGAAAATTTTCTGGAAAAATAAAAACAACAATCGGGACGACGACAACGATGACGACAACCGCCAAAACACGTAAATTTCAACTTCCCTTTTTAAAACTTGACCGGAAATTAACGATAAATTTTATTCATCATCATCATCATCATCATCATTATTATTATTATTATTATTATTATTATTATTATTATTATTATTTTATATTAGTTTATTATTATTATTATTATCATCATTTTAAAAGGAAAATCGAGTAGTAGGTGTAGTAGTAGTCGATCGAATCCATTTCTTTCCTTTATCTTTTTTTTGTGGAAAACTTACCGTAACTATCGCCGCCATTTTGATTTAAATTTTTTTTTTTTTTATCAAAAAAGGAAGAAAAAGGAAAAAATACGAATTGAATCAAGATTAAAAGGAAAAAAGGAAATTTTTTTCTTGTTACCGTCGTACCGATATGAGAAAATTTTTTTTTTTTATTATTTAAGTAGGAAAAGAAAAACAAAATAAAACAAAAAAATAGAAACAAAGGAAAACAAAGGAAAAAGAAAAAAAAGATTTTCCGGTAAATAAAATAAAATCGATAGGAAAAGAAATTTTATTTTTTTGATTTTTCCCTTTTTTTTTTTTTTTTGTTTAGAAAATAAATTTTATTAAAATTTATTATTATTATTATCATCATTATCATCATCATTATTATTTTAAATAACAAAACCGCTTATAATAATAATAATAATAATAATAATAATAATAATAATAATAATAATAGTCGGGTAATTAAAACGTCCGGAAAAAATTTGTTTTATAAATAAAAATTCGAGATTTTGGTTTTTCAAATTTTCCGACTCCCAACCCCTTTTGCCTTCTCCCCCACCATACCCCCCATCACCATCAGGTTTCCTTTTGTCATCTGATCCGACTTTTTTTTTAAAAATGAAATATTTCGGTTAGTGAAAAGCTGGCAATGATAATAATAAAAAAATTTAATAATACTCTGACGCGATCGGCAAAAATGTTTTTCGTTACGTTTGTAAAAATAAAAAAGCGTGAAATGAAAAAGAGAGAGAGAGAAAGAAAAGGGGAAAAGTAAAAGAGAGAGAGAGGGAGAGAGAACAGGAGAGAACTAAAAGAGAGAGAATTAGAAAAAGGGAGAAGTAAAAGAGATAGAGAGATAAAAGAAAAGCGGGGGAAGTAAAAGAGAGAGAAAGAGAACAGGGAAGAAGTAAGAGAGAGAAAGAGAGACGGAGATTTTTGTTTTTCTGATGACACAATTTTTTTTTTTTTTTTTTAAATGACATTATTTATTGTTTATTACGTCGAAAATCGATAATAAAAATTTAATTTTAATGCTTTTTCCTTTTAATTTTTCTAACAATTATCATTATTATTATTATCATTATCATTACCATTAACGTTCCAAAATGTTCCGTGGAAATTATTTCCAAAGAAAAGTATTTTTTTTTTATTCGTTAAGAAATCGTAACTCAATAAAAATTACGTTTAAGTTTTTTTATCCACTTTTTCCTCTCGCTTAATATTTTAATTTTCCTTTCCCCCCCCCCCCGTTTTTTTTTTAAGGTTATAATTTTTAACTATTGACACGTCGGATCAAAATAAAAAAAAGAAAATTAAATTAACGTTTCCGTCAATATCCGTGTTTGTTTCATCACTGTTTAAATTAAAAACTCAAAAATCCCATTTCCGGTCCGTAAAAAAAATTAACATAATAACGATAATAAAATTTTATTATCATTATTATTATTATCATTATTGATAATGATGATAATTTTTCTGTCCGTTAATTAATAACGTTTCGATTTTAAAAAAAAAAAGTTTTTGTAAATTTATTTCGTAGATAGATTTTGACGAATGCGGTCTCCAAGGGAAATTTGTCGCGGATATCGAGGGGGGGAAATGTCGTGGATATCGGGGAGGGGGGGGAAATGTCGCACAATCGTCAGGATTTTTATTTTATAATTTAAAAAAATCGTTTTTAAAAAAAAATTTTTTTATTTGATTTTTAAATAAGGGATTCGTTGAAAATATTTTTTTTTCGTTACCGTTCGACAGCGATGATGTTTCTTGTAGGAAGGAAGAAAGAAAGGGGAAGAAAAAGCGGGAAAATTTTAAAAAAAGACAGCCATCTTGAATGTTCACTCGGATTGAAAATTTCTAAAAAGGAGAGAGAGAGAGAGAAAAAAAAAAGGTTACGATTTAAATTCTCCTACGAACAAACGCACGCACGCACAAACCGGAAATAAATATTTAAAACCGGAAGTAGATGAAAAAAAAAAGGAAAGAAACGGGACAATTACTTACTATCTTCTTAAATATTTCGGTATAGGATATTTCCTTTGTTTAAATTCTCCTTTTCCCGTCAACATATCAATCGTCAAATCATATTCCGGTTTATATGGATTCGTGTAACATTTGGGTTGCGGTGGTGGATCTTCGGGACCGGGGATCCACATGAATATAAATGGATCGGATATGATTTTACTTTTCGCTTCATCCGAATTCGCTCCATATTTTTTTTCCAATATTGTTTTTTTTTTCATTATGTTGTCTTTGGCTGCGCATTGAACGGCTTCGTGACATTTGAAACAAATCGGCATTTTGAATTTTTTTTTTTTTTTCTGTGGATTTTTTTTAAACCTAAAAAAAAAAATTAAAAATTAAAACATTGTTTATTTTTATGGTCGTAGCAGCAGACGACGCTAAATTTAAAATTCTCTCTATCTCTCTCTCTCTCTCTCACTCTTTCGCGAATTCATCGAGGTAATCGAAAGTATCGATTTTTTTTTTTATTTAAAAAACCTTATTATTAAAATGAATAATTTTTTAATTAATTAATTGATTGATTAATTAATTAGTCAATCAATCAATCAATCAATCAATCCCTTTTACCGATAATTCGTTAAATTTTTTAATTTATAAATTAATATAAAAATTTCGAAAACGAATTCAATTTCATTTATTAACGTTACGAATTATTTACGCGCGTACGTGAAAAACCTTTCGTTTCCCCTTCCCTCCCTTCCCCTCCTCTTTCTCCCCTCCCCATTTTCGATGATGATGATGATGATGATATGAAGCGAATAAAATACGTGTATTAAAATATCGTGTTAATAAAACATGACACACACACACACGGTCGCGTTTATTGCGTTTAACGAAATCGTATGAGACGTTTTGGCATTTCCTTTTTATTATTACTCGTAATTTATATTTTATTATTATTATTATTATTATTATTATTATTAAGAAATTCTGCGGTGGCGGTGGTGAGGATGGCGGCGATGACGGTGACGTAAAACACAAAAATTAAATTTTTACGCATGCGAATTTTTTTTTTTTTTTTACTACATACGCGTAAAATATTAACATAAACGGTGAATTAAATAAATAAATAAACGTGGCAGGAGAAAAAAGAAACAATTTCGAAAATTCCACGCAAAAAGGAATTTTTCTTTCTTTCTTTCATTCTTTCTTTCTTTCTTTCTTTTTTCCTTGCTTCCTTTAAGAAATCCGTAAAAAATTTTCCAGAAGAAAACGAACGACGACGACGACGGCGGGGAGAAGGTAATGGTGAATAGGTCGGTGGTGGTGGTGGTGGTGGTGTTGGGGGGTTTAGGAGGGGAGGAGAGAGAAGGAAAGATACGACGTCGGTTAACGAACGTTGTTTTTCTTTTTATATATTAAATTAGAGTAAAAAAAAAAAATCTTTTATTAAAATCACGTATGTAAGATTTTCCTTCTTTTTTTTCCTTTTTTTCTTTTCATTTTTCGATGTTTAAACAAAAGAAAAAAAAAATTTTTTTTTTGTCTAAAAGGAAAAGAAAGGAAAAAATCGTGGCATTAGATAATGAAATCAAATGTTGAGGAGTTTTATTCAATCGAAGAATCGTCGGAAAATAAAAAAAAAATTAAATATATTTTTTTCTATAAAACTCCATCATCCCTTCCCTCTCCTCCCCTCACCTCAACTTTTCGAAAACGAATGAATAAAAAAAAGTAGGGGGAGGGCGACGGGGCATTAATAAACGTGTCCGCCATATTGAACTTTTTTTTTTTTTTTTTGTTAAAATGCACACAAATGATGGTAAAATTTTGGCATCGAAACACGGAAAATAAAAAAAAAAAATTTTTTCCTTTTAAAAAGTTCAACCCTTTTAATTAAGGGTTGTTGTTGTTGTTGTTTGTTGTTGTCGACGTACTTAAATCTCGTAAAAATTTTTTTTTCACGCGTGCGAGAGAGAAAGAGAGAGAGAGAGAGGGTTAAGAGAAATCCATTTGTATGTTGTTGTTTTTTTTTTTTTTTTTTTAAGTGTTAAAACGAAATTTATAAAAAAAAATGAAATACGTGAAATAAGTCAGATTAAAGAAATTTATTGCCTGGAAACAAAAAAAGGAAGAAAAAAAAGGAAAAAAAGGTTTTTACCTTCAAAGGAAAAAATTGGGTCTCGTTAAAAAAATTTTTTTTTGCATTTTTTTTTTTTTAATGAAATATGGAAAAAAAGGTTCGGAAGGGATTTTTTCTCCTGGAAAATCGGGAGGGGGAAGCTGGGGGGAAGGTTGAGGTAGGGAGAAAAGGAAATAAGAGGTATATTTGATAAGACGTATCATTTCCGCTCGTGTCTTCTTCCTCCCCTTTCCCCTTTCCCCCTCTTCTTTTCTCTTTCCTTTGATCGTGAATTCTCAAACTTTTTTCCTTCTTTCCTTCCTTCCTTCCTTTCTTTCTTCTTTTTTCCTTAGGGTTTTTTCTTTTTTTTTTTTTGCTTGGCTCCTTTTTTTTGGAAATTTAAAAAATGTTTTGCCCCTCCTGCCCCCATCCGATTTTTTTTTTTCTTTTTCTATTATCAATCGAATTAATTTTTTTTTTTTTTTCACTTTTCCGACGGGATTTTTTTTTTTTCATTCTTCCGACGGGATTTTTTTTTTTAAATGAGAACGATATCCCGAAAATAATCAATTGTTTTTCGAAGTGGGATGGGGAGAGGGGAGGGTTGGTGAGGGAGAGCGAAGGACTGATGGGGGAAAAGTATAGAAAATATGACGTCATTGATATATATGGACAATTGATAAAAAAAATTTTTTTGACGTTAAATGATGATTTCGCGGAAATCGAAGGTCGAAAGGGATAACAAAGAAAAAAAAAGAAAAATTTAAAATATATATTAAAAACAAAGGAAAAAAAATAAAAGGAAAAAAGGGAAGAGAGAGAGAGAGAGTGACAAAAAAGAGAAAATTTTTTTCACATTCGGCACAAAAAAAAAAGATTCTTTTAAATCGTTTTTGACGATCGTAAATTTTTTTTTTTTTTTTAAATTGATTTCGGGTTTTCCTTTTTTTTTGGAAAATTGTTCTGGAATATTCCAGAACGTTTTGAAAAAAAATTTTTTTTTTATGATTTAATGATTTTATCACACGAATGACATTTTTTTTTTTGGCGGGAAAGAGTAATAATATACGTCACGCGTTATTTTAAGGTCAAATGTGTTCTCAAACCACCACCCTCTTCTTTTTTTTTTTGTTAATGGAGATAAAAGTGGGGGCAATCGAAAATTTAAAAAAAAAAAAAAAGAAAATTTGGAAAAAGTACTGGGAAATTTTCCTCGCCGCCTCCTTCCCTCCCATTTCCCACCTCGAAAAAGGTTTCATTTCTTTTTCCGGTTAGTTGAATATTAAGTAACCGGAAACTGTCAAGAAAATTTTTAAAATGAAATATTATTTGAATTTCCATCACTCGGTATCTTTTCCTTATTATCATTATTATCATTATTATTATTATTATTATTATTATTATTATTATTATTATTCGCGTATTTGACGCGGGGAAAGCATTTTACAATCTAAAAACATTTCATCTCTCTCACTTTCTCATTTTATTTTTACTTCCGTTGTTGTTTTACCGCCGTCTTCGTTTAGTTTTTGAAACCGCCTTTACCCTCCCCCTTTCACCTCCCACCGCTTCCCGCATCTCCCCAAGCGTTTTCCCATGAAATTTCAATATTGAACCTTTTTCCCCTTTTTTAGGTGATTAATAATTATTTTTTACTTTCAGACAATATTTAATTGTTATATCTTAAACATTTGAAATTGTTTTTCTCTCTTTTTCTCTTTTCCTCCCCCCTCTCACTCTCCCTCTCCCTCTCTCTCTCTTTAAACTCTGTTAATTGTTTTTTCATATTCTTTAAAATTTCGATTTTTTTCTAGAAAAAATAAAAATAAAACGTTTTGCATAGCTCGACGCGATAATAGTAAACATTAAACGCATACGTCATCAAAACCGCAGGACCAATAAAAATTTTTTTTTTAAAAAAGCGCGTTCAGAATTTTCATTCGTGACGTCATAATTATTTAAATTAAAATGGAGTAGTATGTCAATTAATTTGATGCTTTGATTATATTCTTTCGAATATTTTTTTTTTTTGAATGTTAATTACGTGGGGGGCGGGTGCCGACGGTGGCGGTTGCGGCGGTGGAGGTTGGGGAGGCGGAATGATAAATAAAATACGCAATAAAACGATGAAAAATACTAAAATAAAAATAAAAAAGAGGAAAATAAATTGATAAAATAAAAGAAATTTTTTTTTTATCAAGTTTCACCGGCGTTGACCCCCTCGGGGGTCAAAATGTCGGGTTCATAAGTAAAAAGTTAAGTTTTATTATTAACTTAAAAAATAATAATAATTTATTATTGTAAGTTCAAAAAAAAAAAAAATTAAATTTAATGGGTTTGAAATAATATTTTAGTTTGAAAATTATTACGATGAAAAAGTTAAGAGAGAGTGAGAGAGAAATAGAAAAAGCTTTTTAAATTTTCTTTTTAACTTTCTCTCTCTTTCTTATTTTTTCCTAGAAAATAAAAAGTAAATTCAAAAAACTTTTCTTTTTTCTTTTTCTTCTACGTGAACCGGTAAGAAAAAAAAAAACTATCAAAGTTTATGGATCGTTTTTTAAAGTTTTCAAATTTTCCAGGCTTTTCCAAAAAAAAAAAAAAAGGCGTAGAGAGAAAAGAAGGAGGGAGAGGGAGAAGAGAGGGAGGAGAGGGAGAGGGAGGAGGAGGTACAGGGTCAGATAATAAATTTTCTTTTCCTCTCACCAAATTTTCACATTCCTTTTTTGATTTCCCCTCCCTCCATCATCACAAAAATCTCCACCAGATTTTTTCCCATCTCCTTTGAATTGTACCTTTTTTCCCTCCTCTCCCCTCCCCCCGTGTTCGTTATCCATTTCCGGTTATTATTTTTTTTTTTACGCGTCACCTACCTTTTTATCATTTTATAAAAATGATGTCGTCGTTGTCGTCGTCGTCGTCATCATATATCGATTTACGATCCCCCCCTTCGATTTTTCATATAAAAAATTTTCCGGATGAGCAGTTATGAAAATAATAATAATAATAATAATAATAATAATAATAAATGTAAAAGTTTAATTAAATAAAGAAAGAAGCTTTTTTTGTTTGTTGTTTACGAAAGGAAAACAAACGAACGGGGCGTTTGTTCTTTTGCCAAATTTTTTTTTTTTTGATAAAATTCTTAAAAAGTTTTTTTGTTTTTCTAGAGTTTTCTAGAACTCCAGAGAAAAAAAAACATATTTAATTTAATTAAACTGGAAAATTATAGAATTTAAAAAGGCAAAAAAAAAAATGTCTGACGCGATAACACGTATCAAAATATGCGCATATATTTAAATGAAAATATTTTTAACAAATGGCGGTTGGAAAACATAACAACAAAAAAAAAAAGGAAATTTTTTAAAATTTCGAATATGTCAAACGTTCAAAACACGCCCGTTCGCCCGTACGTATGTATGTAAGTTCGCATTCACGTACGCATAAACCAAACAAACAAACAAACAAAAGCACACGACCGACAACAACAACACGAACGAGAAATCAAAATTTAAATTTTTTCGTTTTTTTTCCGGTTTTTATTATTATTATTATTTTTTCACGACGTTTTTTTCATTTAACTAATAAAATCTTCGTGTCATTAGAAAAAATAATTTAAGCAAAACAAACAAAAACACACGACCGATAACAACACAAACGAGAAATCAAAGTTTAAATTTTTTTTTTTTAAATTTTTCGTTTTTTCGGGTTTTCATTAATATTCTTCCACGACGTTTTTATTCTTTTTTCTTGTACCGAAATCTTCGTGTCATTAGAAATGACCCGACCGTTGAGTTATATAAAAAAAAAAAAAAAAACGAAACAAAGAAACTCAAATCAATAACACGTCGATAATTTTTCCTTTTTTCTTTTCCCTTTTTTTTTACTTTTTCTGTTGTTCAAATAATAATAATAATAATGATGATGATGATGATAAATATAATTTAGTAAAAAAAATTTACGGGAAAATGATTTTTTATCCAGTTTAAAATTCTGGAAATTTCACTGACTTGTAAATAATTTATTTTTTAATTGAAATTGTTTATTCCGTTATGCCCTTATTACATAAAACTCGATATTTTTTTTTCTTTTTTTTTTCAATTTCCTTTTCCGTTCGTTTTTTTTTTTTTTATTTTTTAAATTCATCATCAATAGTCAAAAGACTGTTTTTTTTTTTTTTTAATAAGAAGAAGAGGAGGAGGAGGGGAGAGAGAAAGAGAGAGAGGGAGGGGGAGAGAGAAAAAAAATAAAGAAAAAAAATTTTTTTTTTTTTTAAATTATGAATGGGATGATTCACGTTTCTCTCTCTCACTCTCTCTCTCTCTCTTTCTCTCTTTCTCTCTCTCTTTATGTTTCTCATCCCGTCGGTGGAAAAAATTCTGGAAAATTTTTTTTTTTTAAACAAAATATTCAATGAATGCCGTCGCTTGGAAAAAAAGAAAACGTATTAAATTTTCTAATTTTCGATTTTTCGACATTTTCTTTTTTTTTTTTTTTTAATAAAAATGTCCCCGTCTCCCCTCCCCCTAATAATTTTTCATGTCCGCCGTAAAATACCATTATAAAAACTTTTCTATTATTTTCTTTTGATTTAAAATAAAAACATAAAGACGGTAATTGCTCCCCACTTTTGAAAAACAAAATGGATGGAGTTTTATTACTTTTCAAATGGGAATCAAATCTTTTATTATTTTTAACGGTTTTTCTTTTTTTTTATTTTTTTTTCAAAACGTTTAAATTCGAAACAAAAAAAATATATATCGAATACGATTGTTTTATTTTTTGGGTTGTCGTCGTCATCGTCGTCGTATCCCCACCTTCCCTACCTTCCAACGTCGTCTCCCCGGAAAATAAAATAAAACAAAACAAAAAAATTTATTTCCACGTGTAAAAAAAATTACACGTAAACTTTTTCGAATAGAAATTTCGTCTTTGTTCCTCTCTCCGGTAAAATATCGTCATTATTATCATCACCACTACCAACACCATCATCATCATCATCATCATCACCGTCGGTACATTGTCATCATCATCATCACCACCACTGTCGGTACATTGTCATCATTATCATCATCAACATTATCATCATCATCAATCCTTATCAATCGTTATCAGATATAAAAACGATTTTTTAAGCGCACGCGAATTTAAAATTTAAAAAAAAAATGGCGCGAAAAAATAAAAAAAAATTTTTTTGTATTTTTCATCTTTTGTATTTTTTTTCATCTTGAAATGATAATAATAATAATAATAATAATAATAATAATAATAATAATAATAATAATAATAATAATAATAATAATAATAATAAAAAGTTTAATTTGTTTTTGTTTGTTCACCTGTCGGTGGTGTGAAAAGTTATAAAAGAAAATAAATAAATAATAATAACGCGGGCGCTTTTCCGACGTAAAACTTTCGACAAAATCCCTTTTTTCTCTCTCTCTCTCTCTCCAAAAGCAGAAGATAAAGGGAAAAAAGTGTCGAAAATACGTTAAAAAAAATGATTATTGCGTGTATATATCGCACGGGGTATAGTTTTTAAAGTGCGTGTGCGTGTGCGTGTGTGCGTGTTTGTTCAAAAAAAAAAAAACTAGAGAATATAGGAAGAAAAAATAGAAAAGAAAACCCGAAAAAAAAAAACGATGAAAAATCTTGTTCAAACAATAATAATAATAATAAAAGGAAAATTTTTCGTGTCTAGGTAAAAAAAAAAAATTTCTGGAAAACTGGAGAATCCAGAAAAAAAATGAGTTTTTTTTTATTTATTCGTTCGTGTGTGCATTGTTTATTTATTTATTTTTATGTAAGTAAAAATAAAAGAAACGAATCTCTCTCTCTCTCTCTCTCTCTCTCTACAACTACGTAAGTGTAATAATAATAATAATAATGAAAAAATTTTCGAAGGGGGGTGGAGGGGAGGGAGAAAAAACAAAATGGTGGAATTACGCACGTTTTTTGGATTTCGGGGTCAAAAAAATCCCTTTTGATTGAGTTTTAAAAAAAAAACCTGGAAAAAGTTTTGAAACCTGTTTTGAACGTTGTCTGTTTGTTTGTTTGTTAAATAATAATGATGATGATGTGTTGAAGGAGTAGGAAAGGGGAGGAGTAAAGAAGAAGTGGAAGGGGAAAGAGGAGGGCAATCGTGAATTGTTAAATTAAATGTTCTTTTTTGTTTTGTTTCAGGTTATTGGCCGTTTGGAATGGTTTGGTGTAATGTGTACGTGACGTGTGACGTTCTAGCATGTTCGGCAAGCATAATGCACATGACGTTCATTTCTCTCGGAAGGTATTTAGGTATAAGGAATCCATTGAAAACGAGACACGCGACAACAAAAAAATTAGTCGGAATTAAAATAGCAGCCGTTTGGTTGTTGTCAATGGTCATATCGAGCAGCATAACCGTTTTGGGTAAGTTAAACGTTATTATTATTATTTTAATTATGAACTTCCCGACGATTACTTTTCCTTTTCTACCTCTTTCTCTCTAATTGCCTCTTTCTTTCTGTATGTGTGTACGTGTCTCTCTCTCTCTGTCTTTCTTTCTCTCCATGTGTGTGTGTGTGTCTCTCAGTTTCCCTTTCTCTCTGTGTATGTGTGTCTCTCTGTTTGCCTGTTTCTCTCTCTCTCTTCCTACTTCATTCATTCTTTCTCTCTTCTATTTTCCTTCACTTCTCTATGTCTTTGTTTCTTTCTTTCTGTATCTTTTTTTCTTCTCTTCTTTCGTTTCTTTTCTTTTCTTCATTGTGATCCTTTTCCTCTTTTCTTTTCTAATCCCTCTTTTTCACATTTTCTCGCTCTTCCACTTTTTTCCTCTTTCTTCTATCTCCCTCACTCTCTTTCTCTCCCATTTTCTCTCTTTCTTTCTCTTTTCTTGTCTCTCTCTCTCTCTCTCTCTCTCTCTATTTCTTTTTTTATCACAGAGATCTTCTTTTAACTCTTTTTCTATTTTCCCTACGCTTTCTCTCTCTGATTTTTCGCATTTCTTTGTTTCCCACTCATTTTTTTTTCTTTCTTTCTCCCCAAAACTTTTTTCGCCCCCCCCCCTGAAAATGATTTTAAAAAAAAAGAAAAAAAGAAAATCTGAACAACAAAAACGTTCTCGAGTAATTTTTGCACGAACAAACACGTAATAATTGATAAGAAATTCCAACTAAAATTCAAGAAAAACATTTTATTTCTTTTTTTTTTGTTCCTGGAAAAACCAAAAGAATTTTTTCTTTAACCTTTGATTAAAATTTATTTGAATTTCCGTTTTTTTTTTTTCGGAAACGTGATTGATGGGAAAAGCGGAAATGCGAAAATTGTTTCAGTTGAATTATAAATAATAAATTTAAATTCCAGATTTTTAATTTTCACGACTTAACGGACTCAAATCCTCGTCCTCCTCATTCCTTTTTGGAAAAATCAATAATTTTCTTTTTTTTGTTTAATCGAAACAGGGATTATTCATTTCCGGTATCGCGTTTCCGTTAAAAAACTCGAACGTGAATTAAAAAAAACGCGACGTGACCTCAATAAAAAAAAAAAAAAGAGGAGGTGGGAGGAGGAGGAGGGAGAGGTAATTAAATAAATTGAAAAACAAGATCGTGTAAGAAGAAAAAAGGAAAAAGAAAATGACGTGGCTAAAGAAAAATAAAAATAAATAAATACGACGCCAGAAAATTAAAAGGGAAAGAAAAAGCGAAAAAAAAATGAACGTGTAATAAGACGATTATAAACGTGTCACTTATACGCATACCCACGCAAAATTCAAAATGGCGTCCATTAATTTTCTGTTTTTTTTTTTTTGACATTTTTCAGGTTTGCTTAATCCGAGCAACATAATGCCTGAACCTGATATTTGCGTCATCAACAATCGAGCATTTTTCGTTTTTGGAAGTTTGGCAGCTTTTTACATACCCATGGTCATTATGGTCGTCACTTACGTTCTCACCGTTCAATTGCTAAGGTAAGATTTCATTGATGACGTATTTTATTACGTAGATGATGACGTTTCAAATGATTTTTTTCTTCTTCTTTAATTATTGTCGCGATACTTGGTTGATTTTCGCATAACCGGAAACTTACAAAGACGGTAAAGGGGGGAAGAGAGAGAAAGGGGGAGGAGTTGGGGGGTCGGAAAATAATTTTTTTAAATATTGCGTAGGCTGATGATGATAATACGTCGTAATTGGTTTTCTTCTTCTTTTTTTTCTTTTCTTTTTTGTATTCCTAATAAAAACTTTTTCTCTTATTTTTATTTCTTACAAAAAAAAAAAAAAATATGGCGGATGTAAAATTACGATGGGAGTGGGGATGGGGGGAAGGGAGAAAGTTTTTAAAAGCAAAAGAAAATAAAAAAATAAAAAAATTTAAATTGATTGAACGTATCCAGTCCTCTGGAATTAAAGCGTTTTTCCTTCTTTCTTTTCCTTCTTTTTTTCTCCTTCGAATTATTTCCTTCCCTCCTCCTCTCGGAGGTGAATATTTTCCAAAGATTTTTTTTTCCCTCGCTATTCCTTTTCTTTCTTCCCCTTCCTCCCTCCCCCTTTTCACTCTCTCTCTTTTTACGTATTCTATCCGCGAAATTCGTTTCATCATCATTCCCCTCCCCTCCTTTTGTTTTCTTTTTTTTCTTCCAGTTTTTCTTTTTTTCCCTTCCCTTTCCTTTCTTCGCACTCTTCTTTTTTTCATCATTTTTTTCTTTTTTTTCCTTGTTATTATTGTTATTATTATTATTTCGAATCTGCTTTTTATTTATTTATTAAAGAGAAAAAGAAAAAAAGAAATAATGACAAATGAAAATGAAATTTATAATAATGTCGAAAGAGAGAAAGAGAGAGGGAAGGGGGACCAGAGAGAGAGAAGTGACGGGAAAGAGAGAGAGAGAGAGAGAGAGGGAGAATTCGTCAAGGTGAATAATTAACTGAATTTTATTTTTCCAGAAAGTTTTTCCTTTCGCTTTTGGCGCCTCACGTAATTGATGCCTAATAAACCTTTGAATGAAACCGATTTTTTTTTTTTTTTTACCGTTTGTTAAAATATTTAACAAAATGAATTCGCGTGAAAATCTCTCTCTCTTATTTTCTCTCTCTCTCTCTCTTTCTATCTCTTTCTCGATGACGTTTACGATGACGATTTAAATTCGTTTCCGATAAAAAAAAAAAAAAAAAAAATTTTTATTTACGTATAAGTTTTTCGACGATGAAAAAAAAATAATAAAATAAAATATAAAAAAAAATTGTCTGCTTCCACGTTTTGATGGATGTATGAATGGGGGAATGGGGAGGGTAAGAAGGGAAGGGGAAATTACATTAAATTTTAAACTCGAGTCTCGGTCAGATAAAAAAAAAAATTTTTTTATTTTTTCGTCGTGTCGCGTTTTTATGTATAAGAAAAAAAAAGCAGAAGAAAATCCAAATTGAAGTTGAATATTGAAAAAAAAAGCAGAAGAAAATTTTTTTTGAAAAAAAAAAAAAAAAAG